TGGCGAAGCACCTGGCCCAGTCTTCTGTCCCAGATGCTCCTTCCCGAGTACCCCGCTCCGAAAACTGCCAGCCACTCCAGGGACTTGTCAGGTGGCTTTGGCGACAGGGGCAGAAATGACACTTATCTTTTAAGTTCAGCTTTAGGCTGAGGGTCCGCGTTCCCATACACTGGCACCCTCCCATCAGCTTTGATGTTACCCGGGAAGGCAAAGAGATTTCATAAGATTTTTACTTTTTTGTTCCCTCAAGGAAAGGAGAAAATGGAAGCTGAAGAAGAATGGAACAAGGAAAAAGATACCATTCATCATATTCATTGAGTACCTCTTCTGTGCCCTGCAAGGTGCATGCATTGTCCCATTTAAGGTAGAAAGGTGGTGTCTGAGTCCACACACACCCACACACACACACCACCACCACCACCATCACCACCACACACCTCAAGGTAATGTGCAGGAGATTTTGAACAAGGTTTTCACTGGAAAAATCTTCCACTCAGCAAGTCTGGAGCCCCGGCCACTGCTAGTTTATATTAGGGAGAGGACTGAGGAATGTCATGAACAGCTTTAAACTTGGTCTTTCTCACTGAGTACTCAATTTGCAGGGCTAGAGCAGTGATTTCCTTTTTGTCTTGATGAGTCTGCTTCCAGCAATTTCAGTGGCCAGATCTAAATGTCTCCTTCTGGGAAGCTCAGACAAAAAAGAAAATCCGGCTGTGGGATGTTTGGGTGTGTAGAGGTATGGAATTAGTATAGCGATTAAGGGATGACTCCTTTCCTTCCTTGGTGGGAATTCAAATTTTAAATGATTCCTGCTCAGGGAATTGGACTCAGTGACAAGGATACCTTCCTGTTCCAGTCCAAATACCTGTTCCTTAAGCCTTCCTTTTACGTTTCTGTATTTAAAGATTTTTTCTTGTAGACTCATGGCCCCTGAAGCCTCTTTGTCCTCATCCTCTTCATTCGCTCAGTCTCCAAGAAATCAGCATTCTCCTGACCACATGACAAAATCAAGCTACACCTATTGTATTTAGTTTCCCGTGTACAGCCTTGACATCTCAGCTCAAAAGACTTGTTAATATATGAGAGCCTTGTTGAGAATTTGTGAGAATTCCTGAAATTCCATATCTTTTGAAATGTGACCAACATGTTTTGAGTACCTTCTATATGTGGGCACTTACATTTTCTCAACTACTCACAAAAACTCTGTAAGGTGTTTACCATCTTTCAGAACAGTCAGATAACATACTCAAGATGATCCCGTTAAGATCAGTGACCAAAGTCCACTACTGTTGGCCACGTATTTTCTTATCCTTGATCCATGGGTTCTAACCAGAAGTCTTTGAACTTCAGGGGGACAATTAATCGTATACATGACTATGTACATTTTTCCCACAGGTAGAAGATCCATGATTCTTAATAGATTTTTTCAAATTGGGTCCTTGACCCAGAAAAGGTTAAGAATAATTAGTTTAAATAGAAAGCAGCTTTAGAACAAAGACTGAAAGTTTTAAGAATCATAAGCAAGTCATCTTTATCCTCTCTGGGACTTAGTTTTCTTGTCTGAAAAATTAAAAAGCTGAACTAAAGAATCTTAAGATCCCATCTAACTCTAACATTTTCTAACTTTACGTTAGAATGTGCGTATGTGAATGTGTGTGTGTATACACAAATATACACATATAAACACACCCTCCTCTCAAAATTGTAACATGTAGCCACTGTGAGATATCATCCCTCAGGACAGAAAAGTATAAAGCGTGTTGTGTTTTGTAAAATATAAAACATGTTCTGTTGCTCCAGGGGTTTTTGTTGTTGTTGTTTGTTTTGCGTTGGTTTTTCACATCTTTGTTTATTGTGGCAATCTCTTCTCCAGTGAGTCAGAGAGATTACACATTCGTGGCAGGTATTTTTTCTAACATACTCACTCATTCAACAAATATTTATTGAGTGTCTACTCTCTGCTAGGTCCTGTGAGTTTGAAGCCTCTGCCCTCAAGGACTGTAAAGCTTAGTGAGGGAAGCAGACAAGAAGCAAAAAATTACAATACTACTTATAAAGAGACAAAGTTCTGGGAACTGCAGGAGCATGCAGGAAGGTTAGCCAGCTCTTTCCCTGGGGTTCAGAAAAATGTTTCTCAAGGAAATGAAAATTTGCCTTCCACATCCAACCTTGCTGCCCTATTCTGTGCTCAGCCTGGAGCGGCAGCCTGCATGTTCTATGAATCTAGCATGGTAGATGGGATCTGTGGCACACAGCTGCCCCTGGGTGGGCCATGACAGGCTCTCTCCCCAGTACTTGAACCTGAACTACAAAAAAAATGAGTCAGCCAGCTGGCATTGAATGGTGAGTTTGTAGCCTATAGTGGCCCATATCAGAACTGCGGTGCCCAAAACCATGATGCCAAAGTCACCAGGAAGTTCTAAAGACCCTCACCAAGGATGCTGGTCTGCAAAGAGGAGAATAGAGAAACGAGATTCCTAAAGGCCTAAATTAAGACTTGCATGTAGCGTGTGCTTGTAGTTCCGGCTACTTGGAAGGCTGAGGCGGAAGGATCGCTGGAGCCCAGCAGGTCGAGGCTGCGGTAGCCAGCAGCCACTGCACTCCAGTCTGGGTGACAGAGTGAGACTCCAACTCAAAAAAAAGATTGGCATGTCTAACTGCTTACTTGACATCCCCAATGTGGTTTTCTAACCAGCATCTCAAACTTGATTTATCCTAAACAGGACTCTTGATTTTTATGCACCAAGCCTCTTCTCTCCCAAGGTTGTCCATCAGGAGAATGACATCCCCATTCATCCAGTTGCTCAGATTCAAACCTAGGAACATTCTTAATTCCGCCTTTTGCTTATACCACACAACCACACCATCATCCAGTTCTAAGGCTCTCCCTGGTCCTGATTCAAGCCATTATCAGAGCCTGAAACAAAAGAAGAAAAAAAAACCTGTGCACTCCTACTTATTGTTTTTGAACCAAGTAGGAAAAGTTAATAAAAGCTCTAAAGTGAAAAAACATGACTATATATAAAGTGCCATGATGCCCACTCGGTTCTCCTAACATTGTCAACCTTCCTTCATAAGCCTGCCAGTAAAGGAACAGAATGGCCAGATGGTCTTGGAACTGGACACTAGTTGGAAACAACTATTCTTGTTGCACAGTGATGCAGGGCCATAAAGCAAACAACAACCTGTCTTTTTTGTTTGTTTTTTGTTCATTATGGATTTTTGCATTCAATTCAAATCCAGTAATAGTAAACAACAACTAGTACTTGTATAACCCATACTATGTGCCAGGCCCTGTTCTAAGCTGCTTATGTGCATTAACTCATTCCCCAACCCACCTGTCAGATACCATTATTATGCCTATTTTACCAATGAAGACACTAAGGTACAGGTAGGTAAAGTAACATACCAGGGCCACACAGCTAAAAAGTTGCAGGACTAAAAGTCTAACCTAGTCATTCTGGCTCCAGATCCAACAAGGTAAAATCAGCTGGACTTGGTGAGTGATGGGTTGTGGAATGAGAGAGGAGTCAACAATACTTCCAGGAGTCTGGTTTAGGCAGCTGCGTGGATAGTGTGCTATTCACAAAATCTGGAAATAAAGGCAGAGTGAGGAATAAGATTTATGGAAAATGTATGGGTTTTATGGGAAACCCATTTCTAAACAGCTTATTGTTTCAGTTAGGGGTTTTTTGTATTTGAGATACCAGAGACTTCATGGTAGAGATATCCAGAAAGTAGCTATCTCAATGAGCTGTGAGGTTAGATGAGAAATATGTGATGAAGACGTTTATGAGAGTCATCATGATTGATAAAGAACTTTGTAAGTTGTAGCATCATAGCAAACATATCAAAATCCAGCACTATCAAAGTATTTTTTTCTGTGAAAAAATTTGATAGTTTTTTAAAAATTTGTTCTTAAAGTTATTTGATGCAGAATAATTCATTTTATTTACTTGTGGGTATGGTTTGTTCATAATCATTAAGCATACTCATAAATTTTTGTGAGATGGGAAGAAAATTTAACCTATAATTGTTTTCCAATGGAAGAAAATGTTTATAAATATTTTTAAAACTAAAGTTATGCTCTGTGGGCATTTGCAA